CCTTATTTATTATTGTAGCTATTTATTTATTTATTTATTGGCGATATCCCCTGGGGGTTTGGCACCACCAGCCCCTGCACCCCACCCTGTACATACAGCCCTGTCTCTGCTCTGCCGTGGCGTGTTGTTGCCCCGCGAACTCACCGCTCATCCTCTTCTCCAGACCCCACCTTTTTAAAAAGTCACCCCATCTATAGCTCTGTTTTGAAGAGGGGGCCAGATGACACTGGAGGGCAGGGTGACCAGGTGATGTCAGGCAGCCAGGCCTGTCAGCCCCTTGGCCACAGTGGGATCTCAGCATGGACCACAGGATGGGTCAGAGCCTGACAATGGCCCACCTCACTCCTGGCCCCAAGTTTTACCTTCTTATTTTTAAGCGGGGGCTGCAGTGGTTCCTCACGAACCTGGGAATACCCCCACAGACCTGACGTCATGAGTGTCAAATGTGCTCCCAGTTCTCCCAGGAGATGTCATGACAACACTACACACACCCAATAAAATGGATGGACGATGCTATGTCTATGAGTGCTGCCTGCCAGCGCTGGCTATGGTCATCTGTGAGACTTTCAGTTACAGAGAGAATTTAATGAAGTTTCCACAGCCCACAATCAGAACATGACCCTGGTGCTGCCCAGGCCAGGCCCTGCTGAGTGGACAGGCAAAGTCCCCACCTTTGTTCCAGGGCCCAGAGCCCAGCCCAGCAGTTTTGAGGGCTTGGGACTGGCTGGGTGGCCGGGGCCCAGTGCTGAAGATGGGACATCCTGGTCATAGAGGCTCCCAGTGAGAAGACCTGGGTGATGACTGTCCATCTTCATGGTTATGTTCCAGATGGGAAAACTAAGGCCTGGTAGTGGGCTTGGAAGGGGCAGCCCAGCCAGATGCCCAGGAGTGGGGGTGGGCTGGAATCAGCCCAGGACCCTGCCCTGCTTTGGGTTCACCCCCCTTCCCACCCAGGTGGGTGGTCAGCTGGAATCAGTTTTGCCTCATCTGGCATCTAGTCGATGGGGTGGGGCAACTCAGTCCTCACCGGGCCACCCATGCTGGGGTGTCAGGGTGCCTGGGGTCTGTCCACACAATAGGGTCTGGTCACATGCCACCTTCATCCCTTCCTCCGGCTCCTCACCAAGCCCTCCCTTGTCTGGGGGTTGAAGTCAGCCTCACTGAGAAGATGAGGCAGGGACCTGGCTAAGGTCCTGTTGGACTGCTGAGCGGGGCTCGGTCTTCCCCTCTGGTGATCAGCTTCCCGCCTGCCAACCGTGGGGTGCGGACTGTCAAGGGCGCAGGAGGCCCTCACCCTGGAGGGGAGCTGTACTGCCATTTGGGGCTCACATGTGTGGCCCCTGAGAAGTTTCCTGGGTGCCTGGTCTGTCCACTGCGTTCACCCGGTACTTCAGGTAGGAAAGGTAGGTGTCCCAGCCCAGTGTCAGGCCATTGATGTAGGTGACTCGGAACTGGGGGGGCACAAAGAGGAAGTTCACCAGCTGCGCTGCAGGCCACACGCACCAGTCAGCCTGTGGGGAGGGACAGAGCGTGGTAAAGGGGGGGCCCAGGGAGCCGTGGGGGAGGAGAATGAACGGGGCGGCGGGGCTCGGGGTACCATGCCCACCTTGTAGAATTCCCAGAACTTGTCCCGAAGCTCCTGGCAGCTCTCCTCCAGGGACTGGCCCTCTAGGCTGCCGATACCTGGGGAAGAGATGAGAGTGTCAAAGGTTAGGGAGTCCTGATGATGGAGCCGGAGGGGAACGACCGGAGAGACACAATGTCCCGGGCAGAGGAACCTGACACTTAAAGGCCTGTAGGCGTGTGGTGGGTGTGGAGAAACCACAGGTGGTGGGGGGGGGTCACAGTGACAGGTCCATCTGAAGGACAGGGACACACCCTTCCTGATGCTGAGGCTGTTTTATTACCTGTCCTTTGCCGATGAGGAAGCTAAGCCTGTGGGGTGGGGAACAGTGAGGACTTTCTTCCTGGAGGCAAAGGCTGGGGTGACTGCCCCATCGGCTCTTCTTCCTTCAGGCCATTCCTCTACCTGCTGACGCCTTCAGGTCTCAGCCGAGTTCCTCTCCTCTGGGAACCCCTTCGCCCCTTCCCCCGAGGGCAGCCCCATCAGACCCTGTCCCCATCCCTCCTACACTTAGTGCCATCGTCTGTGCTTCTGCCACTCACACCTGCCCCCACGAGGTCTGTCCTGTGACCCAGCCTCCAGTTCGGACCACCCACCAAGGGAGGTGCATCCGAAATGCCCCTGGCGTCCTCCCTAACAAGGCTGGCTCGGCCCCTCCTGGCCTAGGAGGGTTTGCAAAGCTCAAGCTCATGGGGCTCCTTACCCAAGAAGTACCAGACACCCATCAAGGGAGAGGCCACCAGCTGGTCGACGAGGACCTTCCTGAGGACGTTTGGAAGTCCACGGAGGCCGGACGCAGGGAACAGGCGGTCCAGCCAGAGGTACCAGTAGTGTAGGAAGGGGCCCATGCTGCAGCCCACAGCAAACATGCTCACTGAGGGCAGTCCAAGGGGGGGGGCAGGTCAGTACCTTAACCTCCCGTCCACTCTCCCTGGGGAGGCCCAGCGCCCCTCCAGAGACCACCCAGATGGTCTCCCGCTGCCAGGCTCCATCCCAGGGGCTGCTTTTACATCTCACCGCATCCCTTCACCGCCCTGCAGAGGATTCTACCATCACCCCCATTTCCAGAGAAGGAAACCGAGGCCAGGGCACACGCCCAGGCTGCCGGGGTCCACCCCCGGGTGCAAGGTCCTACGCTGAGTGCTCATCCTCAATGCAGGAGGCAGGGAAGCAGACGAAGGGGTGGGCGGGGACAAGACCCGAAGGGTGGGAGTGGATGGACACGCTCCGAGTTGGAGGAAATGGAGCCTGGGGAAGGGATGGGGCAGAGGCCCGGGTGGGAGGGGAGACCCGGGTAGCGGCTGTCAGGTTGTAGGGTGCGCGCGGAGATCAAGGGTCCTGCCAGGGACTCGGCCCACGGTTAGGGGTCATGGCCCGCGGGTACGGTCAGGGGTTTCCAAATCTGGGGTCGGGTCAAAGGTTCCCTGGGATCAAGGACTAGCAGCCTTCTCACCTGAGCGCCGGGGGTCGAACTTCTGGCCGGGCCGGGCGCGGATCTCCCAGGACTGGCGCGCGCCGTCCCCGGCCGCCATGAGAACGCCACAGCCCAGCGTGTTGGTGAAGAGCAGCGCGCGGCCTTGGAACATGGGCTGCCCCGCTGCCCACAGGCCGCGCAGCCCCATACTACAGTATTTAATTTTATTTTATTTTAAATATATTCTTATTGATTTCAGAGAGGAAGGGAGAGGGAGAGAGAGAGAGAAACATCAATGATGAGAGAGAAACATCGATCAGCTGCCTCCTGCACACCCCTTACTAGGGATGTGCCTGCAACCAAGGCACATTGCCCTTGACGGAATCGAACCTGGGACCCTCCAGTCCGCAAGCTGATGCTCTATCCACTGAGCCAAACCGGTTTTGGCCAGGGATCCAGGGACCGGCGCTCCGGGCCACCCTGCCCGCGGCGACCAATCGTGCGTCCCGGCTGCGCCCGGGATGTGCTCACTGCTCGGTGCTCCACTTTGCCCGCCCTGAGAGGTCTTATCCAATGAAAGGCCGACATCCTACCCC